ACTCCGCCTCCCTACCTTCGAAGACCGCACCAGTGACTATCTCCCCAGCATCGCACTAACGATGAATTATCGCCAATTGCAAACTCGGCATCAGCAGCTGAGGAAAGCGCGTTTGTTGCTTCGTCATGCTAAGTTGCCGCAAGCATGGCTTACAGGCTGCCTTGACAGGGAGGATTGCATTGTGCAGCGACGTCTGGCGGAGATGGGTTTTGCACTCCTCAAGTTGCCGGCAGGTATATAGTCCTCTCGATAACTCTCGACAGTTCCAAAGACTGACATGGATAAGAACTGAGGAGTTGCATTTATGAATATGCACTCAGTCTGCCAGAAAACGATCAATTCACATGCTTGCAACCTGGTAGCTGTTACGAGTCGACATGCCAAGCTCATGAAACAAACCCTTCCACGCCTCCACTCACTCAAGTAAACCGTCAGCTTCGTAAGGAGACCTTAGCAATGTTCTACAACAGCAACGTCTTTCGGATCGACATTCGTGACGTAGGAGGTTGGCTCAATAGACTACGCAAGGCAAATATCACACCTCCAACCAGAACAATTCTACTATTACCACATGTGCTTAGCTCGAAAGGCGCACCCGGGTTTGATATCACATCGTATATAAAGCTAATGGCCTGTACCAATGCGATTCTGCACCCTCGCTGTACTCATTTGTTTCTCCCTGGTTGGAAAATCGGAGCTTCGCACGTTGACCTGACTCCCAACCCAACATTCTGGTCTCTGGTCAACTGGGACTGGCTAGAGTGGATGGTGCCGAGACTGGGACACCCAGCAGTCATTCACTGCGTCATATTGAGATTTAAATGGTGGACCGATCACTCTCTAACTTTCGAAGTCTGCATCGAATTTGATGATGAGCACGTCATGATCCAGGAGTCAGGCACAGCGCTGGAGCTCTGCAGGAAAGTACATGGTAGCCTTTGCCGTGGTGTGCAGGGAGAAGTATTGCGCAGGGGTCTGGTGGAATTTGTTCCAGTGACGGTACAAAAATAGGGGTGGGTCAAAGTCTGAGTGTTTGCGCTTGCTAGAATGGTGGAGAGCTGTCCCGTTCTCGTAGGGTGTGGAATAGAAGATCTGTACAATGGAGAAAGTTTCGATCTCCAGGGTAGGCTCAGTTGCTTGGAGGAGAAATTACAATAGTCGAAAATTAGAACTCACTGCGTCTTCATTATTTCGGGAGCCGGTGAAAGGTTGTTTCGGAACCTAAATAGTTGAAATGGCATTGGCTGGTGGAAACCGAATAATATCTATAAATGTATCTATACCCAGGTGATATTTGTACGCACCTTCATGATCGGCACTATCTAAACCTCTCAAATATCCTAGGGTTTATTAAGGTAGATTTTGTCCACTGGCTTACAGGCTTTCAATTTCAGCCTTGTCCCGTACATCACGTGCGAGGCCGTCTCCTAACTCTTGGCACCGCAAACTTCCTCGAACTGCTCAACTTCAAGAACTTATAAGAATTTTGTTTTTTAACTACTTCGTTTCAAAATTAAAACTTCGCTCCATCAACCCAGACCCTCCACCAAGGACGCAATCAATCTCTCATTGGAAAATGCCCTAGAAAATATTCGCCTTCACAGTAATCATCATTCTCACTCTCACTTTGCAGTGCGCAAAGGGAGACTAGTTATTTTGTGGCGCCCGTCGACTCTTGCCTGTCATCAAAGCGTGGCAGGTCAAGTGCACCGAAATGGCTCACCTCCACCTCCAGACCCGCCTCTCAGAACTCAAGGAAGCAAGATCCGCTGTCGAGTCCTTTACCTCTCCTGACCATCAAAACATGACAGCGTCGCTTGACCAGAGAATAGGCTGCCTGCAACGGCGACTTGTCCAAATCGGCTCACCCTTCCTAAACCGACCTGCAGGTATTGAGCTTTGTTATCAAACTGTTACGTCACCGAAGCTAATCTGATTCTAGAACTCTGCAATCGCATCTATGAGCTTGCTGTAGTGTTTTCTGATGGGCATTCCGGATGTCAGGCCAAATTTTGGCGATGTGTCACGTTCAATTGTCAAATTTGTATGGGTCACAGGTCCACGCCGTGGGCGCCATCTTTGACCAGAGTGAACCACCAACTTCGGATTGAGACGCTGCCAATGTTCTACGCCATGAACGAGTTTCAAATACAATACAACCACTTCTGGAATTGGATTGAACGGGTACAGTCAATTGGAATTCCTTTGCCAAAAAAGGTCAATATTATGTTACCAGAGGGCGATTTCTCAATCAAAGCACTTATAGAGCTTTATATCAATCCCCTTGCACGCCCCGAGGCTTACTACTTGATGTTCCCTGGCGACGGGCAAAAGTGGACGATTGACGTTCCTGACCTCGACCTCGCCGACCATATCTCTTTTGGCAGGTCATCTGTAATGATGGATGGCAACGATGGCTCACATCTGAGACTAAGTATCCCTCATTTCTCCAAGGAGTGACTCTTTCTGTCTATAGGGCTAGAGGAGTTAAACCCGTTGAGATGAGGATCAAGGCCGAATACGATGATAAGAACATCATACTACGCGACTGCTGTGGATCATTAGACGTTCTATTTTGGAAAGTCGTTGCTAGCCTGAGACTAGATGAAATGAACCTTCCTGACCAAGGCGTTGTTGCAATGATAGCACGGCATTTTCGCGCTGTCAGAGTTCAATGAGTAGGCTGCACTAGCTGCGAAAAAATGACATGAACCACCCTTGCTCCTTCTCTTGAAGGCTAATGGGTCTTTGAGCGATGGACCTGTGCGATTATGCAGATCGTGAACAGAGTCTAGAGTGCAGTCAGATTGGACTTCAAGATAATGGGAAATTGGGAGTGCAGGTGGAGTCTGTTATGAATTCATTTGGGTAAAGGAACAAAAGGCAGTTGAAACTGGTCTTCGACCTCCAGTAGATGTTTTTAGGTACACCAATAATCAAGGTTTGAGGTAAAGACCAGCAGCTTCTCAGTTATGAACTCCCGTTTCATATCATAATTACAATCTCACGCTGGAAATAATAAAATACGATCTACGTAGGTTGATCGTAGACGATGTTTGCTCACTGCTAGTAGATGCGTTCCTACTATGAAGCGAGCCCTCGTCTAAGCTGAACAATGAAGTTGTTATATGATTTTCTAGATGGTACACATCACCATCGCAAAAAGAATCAAGATTGGTTAGGATATATAGTGTTGTGCAGCGGGAGTAAAGGACATATGAACGAACATCATTGACCACTCGAACGTCGAAGTCGAGAACGGTTGAAAGCATGACTTTGTATAAGGAATCTCTGTTTAATATTTAATTACCACAGTGAAAGTCCTTAAGTACCACACCCTTAATACTTTGAGTGTTATCGAACAATAACGTAGGTAAGTTTTCCAATTCCTGGTTAGTGGCCTCAGGCCTGAGTACCTATCATCACCTGCCTGAAAGAGTAGGAAGCGATCGACTTTGCGCCACACTAATGCAAAATCGGCGTTTAAGCAAAATATTCCACCTAACAAGTAAATCAGAGATTGATTGTCAACCACCAATCATTGCGGCAGCCAAGATGGCTCACTGTCGATTGCAAGTCAGGATTCGGCGCTTTGAGATTGAAATACGGGTCATGAATCAGAAGATCTTGGAAACTCGACAACAGCTCGAAAATATGGGATCACCATAGCTTAATCTCCCCGCAGGTACCAGCTCCACGCAATGCTACTTACTTCGACAAAGAAGCTAACGATACTTAGAGGTTCGCAATCAGATCACCGAGCTGGTGATAACGCTTCCAGATACAGGTTTGGGATGTCCTAACACGTCCTCCTGCTTCGACCTCACCTGCCTCGCTCACAAGACGAATCCGATACCACCTCCAATCACCCATGTTAATCGTCAACTCCGCAAAGAAACACTCCAGAAGTTCTACGACCTAAACGTCATTAGAGTTAATCTAGAGTACTTCAATGACTGGGTTTTCCGCATGCGCACAGCTGGACTACAATTACCACCAAATGTTCATATCCAAATCCCGAAATACGATTTCTCAAAGAGCGAGGGAATAGTAATATTGAGGTATCGACCATTACCTCCTTCGAATAGTTCTTACGCTCTAGACGTCACGCCGCTTATCAGGATGCTGAACCAGCAGGAGAACGCAAGTACAGCACCTAAAGATAATACCTCCGATAGCAATCGTAAATCTGCGCCTGAGCAGCTATTGGAAATAGCATCCTTCAACCATACACCCTATCAGTATTTTAAGCCCTCGCAAAGCACTTCGTCCAGTCAGTGGAGAATCGGATTTGGGCATACGGATCTGACGAAAACCTCTTCTTTCTGGATGGTGGTCCGCGACCAAGGTTGGAGCTCCTGGGTAAGTCCTGATGGCGCTTCGCCAGCGTTCGTCCAGAAAGTATATTTCAGCCCTATTGAGGCTGGACGCACAGTCGTTGTGGGTGTAGGCGGTGCCAATGTTCTTCCTAGCGACGTAGTGTTTGTCGGATATGATGAGAGAAGCATAATGGTACGTGATTGCGGCTCAACCAAGCTTCTTAGCTGGAAGGTCATGGCAAGCCTGGGACGGGACGGCTTAGCAGTGGCACCTGGAGACTATGAGTTCTATCCTGTCAATCGCCAGCTGCGGTTCGGCTTTGTTTAAGTGGTTCGGGAGGCTGTTGGTTTTAATTTTGGCGAGTGGTGCCTGTCGTTTAAGAGAGGCGTAATGTGTGCAACTAGTGATGCATAGTACTTGAAAACAACTGTCATTAGTCAATTGACCAGAAGGCAACTTGCATTACTGACTTTAGAAAAGATCATAGAAGGTCAAACCTGGTTAATATGTCGACCTACAGCATTGTTCTAGTGAATTGAAGGATTACCTGAAACAACGCACGATGTAAAAGAAGAGTAGGTTTACTCCGCACTCACCATGTGGCAAACGCAGGCTTCATACATTCCGCATCCATGAACTGCAAAGCAAGGTGAGGTAGTGTCTAAAAATGCAAAAATCAAAACACCTCACGTGGGACTCGAACCCACAGCCTCCAGATTACATAATTAGAAGTCTGGCGCGCTACCACTAGCTGGTGTATTAGTTATGCTGACATCGTTGAAACAATTGCGGATTTACTTACTTGCGCCAGTAAGGCAGATTTTGCGAGTCATGTTTGTGAGGTCCGAACATACAGCAGTCTATCGACAGCAGAAGCACGACTGGAAAAACGGCGTGCTTCGCCACTGCTACGCGTTTCTCAGAGACGTATGAAGTGATACATTCACTCACACCAGACGATGGAGTGATGTCCGCTGTGTAATAATAATAAGGATCCGAATGTTACTGCTTGATAAGAGGCGTGGACGTCCCATAATCGTCTTGATTTGTCGGTACACGCTGAGACAATCTAATCTCAAGTAATAGAACCCATCAAGCAGAGTTGGTGACGCGACTTTCACCTTTCTGAAATTTTGTGGAACTCGAAGTTGAGATTGATCCTGTAAATAAAACTAGCGTGCTTAGTCAGGGTGTCGTTTGTAACAGCGTGGCTGGTGCACACGAGCCCCTTCTCAACACCATGGAACAGTGCACGAGCATGGTCATTCTTGGGCAAAACTCACTAGATGCAGCTGTATCATTCACATCCTCCTTTGCTCGTTATGTTCTAAAATGAGTTTTAACTCTTCTTTGCAAAACGAGACTTGGATGATATTTGGATAGTGTAAGTAGATTGAAAAACCTTAAATTATCACTGTTGTACTCTCAGTTTCTACCTAACGGCTGAACAGGTGGTGACAGGGGTGCGCGAGTAAAATGATCGGAGGTCGACTTCTTCGCTACAAATCGTAGGTCTGGATAAAGGTTTGACTCCGCGGGTGCCATCAGGATCTAATAGGTCATGATTTATTATGAATGAGCTTAAATATTCTAAAGAAGATATTTGTAGAAGCGACATAACCATATTGGCTCATGATTACCGCCGTTTGGGCATAGATCGTGGAACTCATACCACAATAAGCTCCATTCCTGAGCAGAATCGTGTACCGTTAGCACATCACCATTCACGCAAGCAGACAGGAGGAGGTTTTCAGTTGACTCTATAATGGCGGAGCCTGAGATTTGGTAGAGTGAAGGAGTATTGGAGCCTCCTGCATGCATCCGTCTATCAATAGCAATGGGACGAGCGCTGTTTAGCGACACTGAATCATCTACCAACTAATCTGCACTCTGACTGGGCGTGATGTGCAATGAACGTATGTCATTCTATACTAATAGAGAAATAGAGAAGGAATAACCATTCATCAACTGCCTGAGCATCAATCTGAAGTAAGAATAAACAGCCGTTCAAAGCTCAGAATCTATTTCTTCCGTCTCTTCTGCTCTTCTATGCCTCCCTTAGGAGCGACTCTTGCATTTCCACCTTGCGGCCCAATAAACCTCTGCGGTTCCCACCCATTCTCTGCTGCTGGATGATGCTGCTGTTGCTGTGGTCTCGCATCAAAGGGATTGTTGGCCTGTCCTGGTTGTGCTTGTCGCGCCACTGGTTGTGCTTGTCGCGCCCGAGCTTGTTGTTGCTGTCGTCGACGCTATCGCCTTCTATTAGCTCTCTGTCTCTCTTCTTCTTCTCGTTGCAATCTTTGCCATTCACGCCAAGTCATTAGAATGGGTTCTCCTACCGCTAATAGATCGTTATCATTTTCGCGCTGTTCCTGTCGTGCGCGATCCTCCTCTTCTCGTCGGCGTTCTTGTCGCCGTCGGTCTTCCGCCGCTGCTGCGAGTCGATCTCGATCGGCTGCTCTGGCGTTCCCGTGGGGTCGATCGAATGGATTACCTCCCAAACCTCCCGGAAAGTTTGGCATTGGTGGAGGCATCGGCATTCTCATATCGTCCACAGCGTCGAAGAAGTCGCGACCGTGAAGTGGATTGCGAGGGGGTCTACCCATTTGACCAGCCATGCCAAAGAGTTCCTGGGGGCGGACTTGAGGAGGAGGCATTCCCATACCGCCCATACCGAAGGGATTACGACCAAACGCAGGAGGGCCACCCATCCCCATCATAGGACCGCCCATCATAGGACCGCCCATCATTGGGCCACCAAATCTGCCTCGACCGCCCATAGGTCCGCCGAAGCCCATCTCTTCATCACCACCTTCAATCGGCATACCAGGATGCCACAACATCCCTCGTGCTTCCGCGTGATCTCGCTGCTTTCTATGATTGTCGTCCTGCTTGACGCGGTTGCTCATAGCAATCTTCAAGTCCTCATCTGTGACTTCTGGATGGTCTTTCTTGATTTTGCGCTTAGCTTCCTCCTCCGCGGCTTTGACTTCTTTTTCCGTTTCCTCTGTCGTGTTGGAGAAGAGCATGCAACCTCCTTGTCCATAATGTCGGTGTTTTTCAACGTTTGGTGCCCGGCATGAGTAGCACATTGACGCGCTGCACTGGCAGTGCAAGTGATTACATCCTCCTTCCTTGACAAGCATCATCCCGCAGTTGTGGCATTCACGCATAAGCGCTTTGGACATCGCCTCCTCGACGAGGTGGCGAATGTTTGCTTTCCCGCCGTCATTCTTTGCTTTTGCGGCATCTGTACAGTTCTTCGCAGGCCAATGATACTCTTTCTTGCAAATGGTGCAGGACTTCTTACTGCAAGATTCGCACTTCAATTCCACTCCGGACTCCAAAAAGCATTTGAAGTGGCAGAATGGACATTCTACAATTCCCTCAATATCCTTGAGCTCAGCGTCTTGTTGCATGCGTTCCATGCGTTGGTAAAGTTTCGAATCAACGACGGCTTTAATCAATTTATTGGGGTAGAAGTCCTTGCAGTCCGTTTCCATGCATGGTACCTTTTCTTTGTTGCTGCTGATTGCGTCTATCGCATGGGTTTTGATACAGTAGTAGCAATAAGTATGTCTCTCGCGGTTGTTGCAATGGCCCATGCGGTCTGCAGGGCGGTTTTCGAAGCAGACATCACAGGTGACTGGTGGTGCTTGTTTTGCCTTTTGTTTCGCAGCCGTCTTCTTTGCCTCTGCGTTTCGGTGTTGCTGCTCGCGTTCCTTACGCTCTTTTTCTTGTCTTCTGTGATTATCCATCGCGGCTTGAAGTTCGTCTTTTGTCAAATTTGTGATTTTCCAAGGCGGTCGATTCTGCGCTTCGTCTAAAAAGGTGAGAGTAGGTTTGAAATTTCTGAGATCTTCGTCTTCTGAGAACTCGTCGGCGGGTAGTAGTCCTTTCGCGTTTCGCTCTTTGAATTTCTGGTGGGTATATTGTTCGTGTTCGAGTTCCTTGTATGCGGGGAACAGGAAGTGATTTCTTTTGAGAGTTTCCGCTACGTGCGGCCGAGCAGTGGATGGGAATGCTTTAAATAAAGCTTTGCGACTGTAAGATGTGAGTAAGCTTCCAAGATAATGATCGTGAAAGGGATTATTCTGGGTAATGCGTGAAGTCTTTCATTTACTAGCTAGATCGTGAAAGAATGAGGCTAGATAGCGCGTGTTGTATCTTTGTTCTGGGTATGCATAGAGTGTATTGTACTCTAAGGCAAAGATCGTGAATGGGATTGTTGGTGAAGCACGGGTGGGTGTATCGTCATAAATGAAATGGAGTGTGCTTCAGAAGCCGGAATTTGTAGATCTTGTGGGATACCAAAAATGACTGTCTGCTATCGGTGAGCTGGCTGCTTTGTCACTCCAGTCACCGAGAATGTACCAGGCTCAGCTAGGAATCAATAGCTACGAAGATGCAGAGATGAACACAATCTCGGATTGGCTGGATGAAAGGCCGGGCCTATTAGGAAAAAAATGTCTGATGAAAACAAATGTCTGAGTGCTAGAAACGGGATCCTCAGAGAGGAGCGGACAATCGTTAGGAGAGGGGGATTGGGTAGTCCACTACAAGAGATGGTGATGAAAGCACAGCGCTTTCCCAGCGAATAAGTTGTTATACTAGGCAAGTGCGAATAATTTTTTGAGTCAAGAGAAAACCCCCAAAAAGAAATTGCACTTACGCTTCAGTCGTGTACTCGGCAGTCGGAGGCTCTCTCTCACTACTCGTCCACTTGCTGTGACCAGGAGAGTCAATCTCCTCGTGTCGCCTTTTCAGGGTTGGTGAGCTGGAAGTGTCTGTTGGATAACCGCTATCTAACAGCATAGTGATCAAGGCATCGAGATTAACAAGAACCTGCTGGCCGCCAACAAATTGGGCACGCGCTTGTTGATTGATGGTCTGAACTACGAAACCGTGCCGGATCCCGGGGAGAAGAGTTTTTATCTTCGCGATAGCTTGCTCAACAGTCAAAGACCTTGGAGGTGTCGCTGGAGAAAATGCTGCTTGATTGGAAGGACCACTCTCTGCGTCAACGTCCCGAGTTGATAGCGTAATGCGAGCAGAGCCAGCTGGCCTAGTCCGTTCTGTCATGATGTGTGACTTCTGCGCCGGTTGTTTTGCATCAACCTTGCTGAGTCTTTTGGGCACTCCATGTTGTTTTTGCCTATTTGGGACGTCTTCTTCGGAGTCCGAGAGTAGAGAAATAATCTCTGGCGGCACCATGGCTGGATTCTCGCTAGGGCTGCGGGTGATTGTTAGAATTGATATGGTTTAAGAGCATTGAAGAATGTTGTTCAGAACGCGTCTTCTGCTTTAATGATAGTCCTATCAAACGTAGTTTCAGCCTCCAGTCTAGCACGTGTAGGAAATCGCAATCGCGGACGCCGTGCCAAAGCAGCCTCCAGAAGTGAAGAATAAGTCAAGCAGGCAGTAACCAGCTCGCCCAAAGCCTAGAGCTTAATTCTAAGAAGGAAAGGTCCGACTGCATACCTTCAAGTAATGGATTGCGCCGCGGACGTGTTCTGGGCAAACGTGACAAAATTAGAGATGGAAGTGAGATGAGACGCGTTCTATGGTCGAATCCATGACTGAAATACTTCGCATCAGGGTAACATTTGCATTACGGGAAGCAGGAGTCGCGGCCTCATCTGAAGCCGGGAATGGAAGGAATCTTGCAAGGACAGGCTGAGAAAGGGAGGTGAGGTTGCTCGAGGTTTTCCTGCGGGAAGGAAGCCACAAACGGTCTCCCACGACGCATCATCGTTTC